GCGCTCTGTTGCAGGCAGTGTTCCAATTTGAGACAGTTCGACTCCTTACCAGTTCGAACTTGTAACAGTTCGATTCTGTCCGCGTTCTGTTCTGGTACGTGTGCGAAAAAAGTACTGTTCTGAATTGAATCTGTTCGATTTTAGGTCTGTTCGATTTTGAAAACGTTCGAATTCGTCGTACCCCCGCGTCAATCCCAAAAACAACATAAACAAGATCCTAAATTCTAGGTTCAATTATATTCTGTAAAGCATTTGAAATGCATAAAAATAAGAAATGGGAATAGACCTCGTCAGTTTTTGGGAAAAAATGTTAGGGAACATTTATTTTTAAAAAAAACGTTGTGTGAAAAAAGAACAAAACAGAACAACAAAATCTACAAACTACTCTCAAAATGTTTTGCTCTTCAGAACAAGCCCTCTGCATGCATCAATAAACTGATATTCTGTGAAATTCAGATTAATTTTCTTCACAATATCCATCAAACTGCCCATCGCTTGTACGGAACACCACGAAAGTTCCAGAACATTTCTCACTTCCAAATATTCGAAAATCGTGTCGATCGATTTTTTGCAATGTGAATGACATGCGAATCCGAGATTAGCAGTTATAAAAGGGATTGCTTGCTCAATTGAATGAGTGCCACGTAGAATGCATCCAATCATGATCACCATTCGAACACTCTTGGAGCTTACTGTATATAATTTATTGCAGTCATTACTTGTGTGACAAACATGGCAATAACGTTTTCGTGACTTACTGTCGTTCCTGAAAACAAAGATTCTTAAATTGATCGATTTTTGTTTGACTTACATCGAATATTTGTTTCTTCTGATAAATGCGCGTAAATGATGCTCGAACGAAGTAATCGGTATCTTCAGTTTACCGTCATTATCACTAATAACCTTTCGAATATGAGAAAGACAGACATAAGGTGTTGTTTTTCCCATAGATCCTTTGACTTCAAAAATTTCCGAAAGCACAATTTTTTCGTCTTCTGTCCTGATCATTTTTAAAAGATTTCTCGGCACTGTATCCTGACAAATTTCGCATTTCAGCATACTATAATTTTTGGGCATTTTATTCTCAATTTTAGATTCACTTTCTTTCGGCTTCAGTTCCACGTCTTCAAGAAATTCATCCGCCTTCATTTTGATTTCATTTTCTAGAAGATTTTCAGTTTTCTGTTCGATTTCTTCGTTTTTCACTTCGACGTATTCTCCATTTTTGACTGTAAAATCATGTTCTTCTTCGATGACTTGCTCTTTAACATCCGCTTCGTTCATCTGAAAATTTCTCTTAATTGAAAATTCTGAATAACAATAAATCGTTTTTTTTTTTCGTCAAAATGTCTTAAATACGAGAATTCTCTCTTGAAAATTACAGGAAATATTGTCGAATTTAAAAAAAGTGACACCTGAGAATTTGAAAACTTTTGCTTTTTTTGATCTACGAAAAAATGCGGCAAAAACGTAATATTTCAGAATTTTGGCTAGTTTGAGCTACTTTCGCGTTTGAGTTTAGTTTTTTGCTGAAAAATGGATTCTAGAGATGCTAGCGATCATTTTCATACCAAAAAATCAAAATTTGTTCACAAAATCCCACTAAATTCACATAAATAAATGTGTTATTTACAGTATCCGTTTTCGCTCCGCCCCCTTGTAAATCGACACGAGCGCCGTCTCCGAGATTTTCAGGTGTCACTTTCTTTAATCCGGCAATATTGTCTATTCAATAATTAAAAGCATCAAAATCGACTATGTCGTCGTATTCGGTGCGAAAATTCGAAGTACGCAGAGACACGCCGACGACATTTTGTGTATTATGCTTGTCTGAGAAAAAAAAAGGTTAGAGAGTATTTTTTGCAGTCTGAATACGGTAGCGATATCGAAGCGGAGAGCCTAAGTAGCACACATAAGGCACTCACTAAGTAGCACACATAATCGAGTATGTCGTCAAATTCGATGCAAACATTTGAAGTACGCAGAGACACGCCGACGACATTTTGCGTACACGACAGATTTTAAAAAGAGAGGATTAAAAAAAAAAAGATTTTAAAAAGAGAATTTTAAAAAGAGGGCTTTATTCCATAAACAATAGAAAAGAACATAAGTTATAGGTTCATTCAAGGAAGTAAAACGAAAAAAGATTTTTTAAACGATTCACTGACGCAAACAGTCTTCTAGAATTTTCCCAACAAAAAAACTAAAATGTCGTCAAATTCGTTGCAAAAACTGAACACGCCGACGGCAATTTGCGTACAAGTTAGATTTTCGGTAAGAAATCGGTTTCAATCCTGAAAATCTTGAACAAACAGCGAAAAAAAAAACAACGATTTATTCGCAAAAAATAGAGAACAACAAAAAATATAAATTCTATGCCGTAAAATGTCTGATTCTCCAACTATATTTGCTCAATTCTCGAGCGAATTCCGCCAATTTCATCTCTGGACACATGCAAGTGACGTCTTCCATCAAGCTCTGAATGTCTTCTTTCGAGCAGCTCAAAAATTGATCGACATTATCGATTTTCATAAATCCAATGATTTCTTGAAACGAGACTAAAAAATCCGAGTGGCAGACATAGGCAATTTGTGGTTTTGCGACGAAATCTTGCGAGTCTTCATAGGTGAAACTGCCGTTTAGCACACATCCCAGCATAATAATCATCTTCACATTTTTCGATTTCACAACTCCTAAATCCCATTTTCCTTTAAGCGAATTGCACACTGCACAGCGGCGATAGTCATTGCGATATTGCGGTCTGCAAAATCGACAAATCTTGAAAAAAAAAATCAATAAACACCCACTTTTCATTTATAGTCCTTTGATTTCGTCTCTCACAATCGGTCATCACTTTCAGCATTTCCTCATTCGACCATTTCGATAATATCGATCGTTCCGTTTTCCAATTTTCAATCGATTTTGGATTTTCCAGTAGCACACGAATCCTTTGCATGGCCACTGCCAAATGGGACAAACAGATTTGTGTGCTGTGATTCAGAAAATAGTCATGCCACTCTGGAGACGCAAAATCGCTCTGGAAAATCGATCCGATCACCAATCGATCGCTCTCTTTATTCATTCGTTTCATATTTTTCGAGAACTCCGTTTTTTGACAAATTTGACAGATTCCATGTCTTTGACCCGCTTCGAATACGTTTTTTCCTAAGTCCGCTGGACCTAGTTGCACATCATCATAATCGATTTCTTCGGTTTTCATTATTTCTTCTAAGTTATCGCTGTATCGTTCCATTTTTAAGCTGAAAATAGGTTTTTTTCATTTGAATTTTTAGGGTTTGATGCGCGTCGCCTATGATGTATAGTCCGCAAAAACACCGAAGAAAGTGTATTGCGGACTATAATAAAATCCAATGATTTCTTGAAACGAGACTAAAAAATCCGAGTGGCAGACATAGGCAATTTGTGGTTTTGCGACGAAATCTTGCGAGTCGACAAAAATCAAATAGTCGACTAAAATTATGGAAATTTTCAAAATTGCCTAAAAATCGAAAATTCATTAAAAAATGCAATAAAATAACAAAATCAACACAAAATAACAAAATCAAAAATTCAATAAATTATTCCAAATGACACAGTTTCTTCTCGGTATTCTCTCCAGAATGAAGTTTTTCGTAGTATTCCAAATAAGCACTTCTCGATTTAGAAATATTCTTTTTTCCAGTTGAAAAATGGAAAAAGTTCAGGAAAAAGCGAGACATCGTGAGATTTGGACAGAATTTTCTCGAAATTTCCATCAAATTATCGAAAAGAGAAAATGAGCAAAACTTCAATTGATGGATATTTTCAATTTTAAGAGATTGAAGAATTGTGCAATTAATCTCGAATCGATGAATTTCACAAATCGAAATCCTCAATTTTCCGTTTATCGAAGAAATAAAATTTTTGGCTTGCTCATCCGTCCAAACTTCGCCTAAAACCATTCCAACAGCAATCAAATATTCCTGTCCATTCAGCCGAAATCCGGAAATTTTTTCGGAATTTTTGAATTCTGAACAAATCGAACATTTGTATTTTTTCGGATTTCCAGTTGAAATTTTTGGGATTTTCGGGACATTTTCAGAATTTTCTAGAATATTTGAATCCGGGTGAATTCGTTTCGGTGCAATTCTCGATTGTTTGTAGTCCAGATTTAAGAGACTCTGAAAAATCGATATTTGAGATTTGTTTTTAATTGCGGGAAAAGTGGGCGGAGCTTAAATTGTAAGCTTCTTCAGCGTGACTCCGCCCACTTTTCCTGGATTTTTGTCGATAATTTTGCGTTTGAACATAATTACAGCTTACAATTCGAAATTTTTGGAATAAGGGAATTTCCCAATTTTCAGAATTTTCAAATTTACAGAATTTTGGAATTTTTCAAATTTTTCAGAATTTCGAAATTCGGTAATTCTGATTTTTTGAATTTCGGAATTTTCGAAATTTTGGACTTTTCGGAGCTTTTAGAAATTTCAGAAATTTCTGAATTTTTTGAATTTTTCAGATTATTGGAAATTTTGGAATTTCGCAATTTTTAGAATTTCTGAAAATTTCAGGATTTTGAACATTTTCGGAATTTCCTGAATATCGGAATTTTCGAAATTTTGGAATTTTTGAAATTTTTTGAATTCACTTGCAATTTAGGCATCGCCCTGACTTCGCCCACTTTTCTTAACATCAGAAATTTATTTTTTTCCGAATTTTTTTCCCGCGAAATTTGAATTTTTCTAGATATTTTTGAGAATTTTTATAACTTTTTCCAAAAATTTTCGATCTAGATTTCTAGTTACAAATTTCTATGTTTAAGTTAGGAAATTTAGGCTCCGTCTCAGTGAAATTTTTCGAAAATTTCAAACTTTATCAATTGAAAAACGCACTTTCAAAAACTTGTTGGCTCTCAAAAACCCTTTTAAAATTCTCGAAAACTCGTTTTCATCGATTCCTGGCCAAATCGCAGTCACCAAATCCATCACCTCCTTTGTCAATTCCCATGGTGCCACTTTATAAGGATTCGCGATTTCACAAGTGTTCAGAATCTTCTCGAACGATTCAGAATAGTGGAAACGGCAAGAAAATAGAGATTCCGAGGGGTTAAACAAGGAAATTGCCTCTTTTATTGTCAATTTTTCCAGAAGAATCCGTCCGATGAGCAATACAATCCGCGCTTCTTGCGTCTTCACATTTCTCATTTCCGATCGTTTTTCTCCATTCGGACAGAGATAACAATATGAAATTTTAACAGAAGAAGAAGTAGAAGTTTCTGGAAATTTTTCCGAGATTTTTCCAGCATTTTCTAGATCAAGTGCCACTTTATAAACACAATTTTTGAATCGCTTCAACGAGATTCCCTGAGCTACAGTACCCTCCATTCGATTTATCAGAACATTCATCATTTCTTCCGAACAAGCCAATATTCCACATGGTTTTGTGATCCCGAGAAATTCGAAAATCGCATCGATCGATTCCGAAAAATGGAGATTACAGATTTTTTGTCTTCTCCAAATTTTTCGGAAATTATCGGCTTGTTTCAGACTGAAACTGCCACGTAGCACTTGTCCGATTAGAAGAACAATAGCATCTCCTTCGAATTTCAGCGTTTTTGAATTTTCCGGGCAATTTTCAGAGCAAATTGAGCATTTTCGAGGGATTCTGAAAGAAATTTGGTTAAAAATCGATATTTTATGGCTCCTTTAAAAATCTATATTTTTACCTCGCCGAATTCCAGGAAAATGCAGAATTATCGATGTCGAAAAATTGCTCATTCAAAAATCCATAGTCATGATCCAATATCGGCTGGTTGGTCGATGCAGGATATCGGGAATACATTTTTTTGGGAGAAATTTCAGAGAAATCTGAAATTTTTATAGTCCTTATCATAAAACACGAAAATTTATACTGAAAATCGAACAACAATTAGAATTTTTCGATTTTTTTCCGGTTATTAGAAAGCAAAAACGACCGAAAATGAAGGAAAAAACTCAGTAAATGAGCCTGAAAAATTTTTTATTCGTTTTTTTTTGCAAGACTACGGTAGACAAAAAAGTTCATATGCATTAAAGTTGCCGCGCAAAATTCAGAAATTTCAATTTAAACAGCATTAAAACAAGAAATATCAAATTCAAATTGAAAAATTGAATGAAAAATTAAAGTTTTCGGTGATTCGTAAGCAAAAACAACTGAAAATACAAGAAAAGCACTCAAAAAATGGATCTGAAAACAGTTCTCATTTAATTTCCCAAGGCTACGGTAGACAAAAAAGTTCACATGCATTGAACTTGCCGCGCTTTTTTTTGCGCGTCATGTTCAATGCATGTGAACTCTTTTGTCTACCGTAGTCTTTTCAAATTTTTAGTTTTCTTCCAAATTTCAGATGAATATTGACGAAAATAGCCTTTTAAGTTGATAACTTCTGTAGCGAAAAAGCTATTTTTTTCTGTGAAATATCCAGAAAAAGAGTACATATCTGCTTTTGAAAGCAAACAATCGGAAAAAACTAAATCAACAACATTTTATTGGGAAAAAACAACAACAACAATGAACAAAGTAATGGAAAATAATTCGCAAAAATTTAAAGTTTCAACGATTTCGTTTTTTGATTCTCATTCCAAACCAGTCAACGATAATTCGTAGTATGTGTCGTGACGGCATATTGGGTGGTGAGCAGCGTGTCCTTTCGACACGACTTCGAGAAATTTTTCGAGGAATTTCTCGAGGAATTCCGAAAAAAAAGGAAGCTTTAGTGGCTCGGGACGTCTTCAGGATTCTGGGCCAGTACGTATTCTGAAGATCAGAAGGCTCTATCTCTCTTCTGAAGCCAGTCATTGAAATTGTCGCGAGAAATACGGTTCAGAATAATGTTCCTAGCCCAAAAAAAGGCAAAAAACTATTAGGCGGAAGATGGAATCGAACTTCTGTCGGCGGCTTTCTATCGGGCGCCTCCTCCTCCTCCTTTTTCCGCAGATCCCGGACGCGCGCTGCCCACTTGGCTTAGTGGCTAACACTGCTGACTTTGGAGCGAACACCCAAAAGTTCGATTCCCACCTCCGCCGAATAGTTTTTTTTTAGTTTTTTGTTAGTGCTAGAAACATTATTTTGAATCAATTTTTTGCAGATTTGGTGTGAATTTCATTTTTACGATTATTTTCAAATGTATATGTTTGTTCCAAGCCTTTTGTTTGCTGAATGAAAAAATGCATTGGTTTTATGTTTTGTAGAAACATCCCCAAATTTCCACATTTTGAAAACATTTTTTTGGGATTTCAATAATATCGATTCTTTGCTGAAAATCTCGAGAAAATTGAACATCATTCATTAACGAAACAGAATTAAAAAAGAATAGAAAAAACAACAATGATTTATTTTCTGATATGAGGTCTTGTGGGACATTTTGGTAGTGGATTCTGAAATTAAAATTTTATAAAATTCAAATAGTTTCAAAACTTCAACTCCTCAGTAAGGAGTCCTTACCATTCTTCTACAGTGATTTTTATGAAAAGCACTCATAATATTCTCAAATTCGTTGGTTGTGATTCTAACTGTTCCATTCAAATTTCGAACGACAACCATCAAATTCTGCATGAGATCCTGTCGACACATAGAAAGTTGATTCATATGCTTAATCGATAAAAATAGGAAAATTCGATCGATTGCCGATTGGAAATGTTGGGAACAGACGATGAATTCTCTTCTGGATCTGACAAAGGAAGCGGCGATATCCATTTCAAAACGATGATCCAGAATCGCTGCGATCATTAGAATCAGCTTGTCTTCTCTCGATTCCACTCGTCCTATTTGTCCTTCGATTTTCTTATGACACAATGAACAAGTAAAATGCTTTTTCTTATTTTTCAGTACTTCATTGGATTGCACATACTGCAAAAAAATCTTTAAAATCCGAAAGTCCTGCAAAATACAATTCCAAAAAGTGTTCCTAGTACTAACAAAAACCTTCAAAAAACAAAAAAAACTATTGGGCGGAGGAGAGAATCAAACTTTTGGGTGTTCGCTCCAAAATCAGCAGTGTTAGCCGCTGAGCCATTAGGGCAGCGCGCGTTCTCAAACAAGCGAGGGG